GTTTGGTATAGCGGTTTTCATATACTGATAGCATGCAGAGTTTCACTGTACCATTCTCAGTCAATGTGCTGTGACTTGTCTCAGTACCTGCAAAGCTGGTTTGAGAATAGTCTGTTTAGACTTAGAATTTTTGAGGGGTTTGTTTATTGGCAGACCTCATTCCCACAATAGAACAGAAAATAACTTGTATGAACTTTTGGACTCACCTTAGCGGCTTAATACATGTAGATGATGGTGGTACCAGAAGGCAGGGTTTGGATTTTGTAGGGAATTATGGGGTATAATTGAAACTGCAAACATGCATACATGTACACGCATACACAGAAAATGGCAGCAGTGTCCAAGCTGGTTTGGTAGGATGTCACTGATCGGTTGCTGAAAAGTTCCATTACAAATCCAGTCTCTGAATGGTCGAAATGGAAGGTGATAAACAGTTTTCGTAAACTGGACATGTGACCATCGTAGTCTAATTAGTATCTTTTGCATAGTATAACACTCGTTTGTTTTGAGCAAAGTTCCAGTTGCATGAATGCGTATGTTTGTATTTGACAGGCACTGGCTAACAATGACTGTGAGTACAGTGTGCAACGTAACATACTGGATTTCCCTCAGCATACTTCACCTGACAAGGCTGTGAGGGAGGCAAGCACCGAGGCTGACAAGAGACTCTCTGATTTTGACGTAGAGATGAGGTAAAGGGCTGGTCACTACGGAACTGTTGATGGTCCTGTATGGTCCACATATGGTAGCCTGTGAAGGGCACATCAAGCAAAATAATGTTTGCAAAAATTATGGCCACCTCTTCTGTGGATACTTTACAGCGATATGTCAAAATTAATCTTTACTGATAAATTTTGCCATTGGAATATTTATTATTTAAAACCTGAATTTTACTGTTTACAAATTGTAACTGTCAACAGCAGGGCTTCATGTTAAAGGAGCGCAATCATGCTCGCGCTCCTCCGTGCTCCTTAATGTTTTCCAAGGAGAGCAAAAAAAAGCGCTCCTTAAAAATTTAAGGAGTGCGTGTTTTTTTCAAACCAGCAAATGTTGATTTATGACAAGCCCCTTGACTCTTGTTGAGTCGACAGTAGCAAACGAGTCCAAAAATGGAATGTATTAAAACACAAGGGCTGGTGATCGAAGTCTTTGAGTTGTGCGCGCGTGCTTGATGAATCCCGCATCGCAACACACAGATGTGATAGCGCATGTGGGCGGGCCTAGTGCGTGTGGGCGAGCCTATGGAATTCCATGGATGCACGTGGCCGCGCCTTGCCGACCTCTCTCCCAGAAC